CCATCTCAAAGCTCATCAAACAAATACATCTACATATGTGTGACTTAGCTCAAAGCAAGACAACAGATATACTAGTAATATTACTGTAATAAAAACATGCATAACATAACCATGTAGAGCAAGGCAATACAATAACATACATATACAATGTACCCCATAAAATGTTAATCTGGGATCCTACAAAGGTTTTGTATGAAATATACTGGTATCATTAATGGATTCCAGGCAGAGTCCCTCACTCTGGCATTGGGAGGGAGGAGGGGGGGTTAGTGTTTACTAACACAATTCTTATCACCTAATAAATTTAAGGTTGCAACTTCCATACACACAAGAAGCCACCAAATTATAAAGACAAAATGTTTTAAAACATTGGTAGAGCATCTATGAAAGTTACCTCAATGAGTACCTGATATGCAAACATTGCATTCAGCACATTAACTACATCAGTCTCATTCACATGTTAAATTAAAGCAATCACACATTTGAACTGTTACCTACACAGAGAACACCATAACAGTCATGCAGGTTATACTTGCTTGTAACTTGTTGTCCCTCCATAAAATACACAATCTACCCCCTATTTATGACAGAATGGATTAAACCAAAAACAGAAATTATTTATTCAACACAAAAATAATCCAGCCTGACTGGTAATATGTGTTAGTTGGTATGAAGAAGTGCATTGGTACAGTCAGCTATTTTTTTTTTAAGTGGATCTGCAAGGGTATTATTATTATCAAAGAGAATGGTTTTTCCGCAGCACTCTACCAAGTTTTCAACAAGAGAGACATAAAACGCAGGATTTTGTGGATGTGACAAAAAAATATACTTGGATGGCATGTGCTGATAAAACCACACTGATCAGCAGCGAGACAAGGTGCAGGATTAAAACAGGAATTTTTACAAGCAGTGCAGAAAATAGTATCATCTAAATAAGAATGGTTCCTGTACATGAGAAGACTTGCATGTAACCATAAATGTATACAGGGTTGCAGGGCTTGAGATTCAGAGTTGAGAGAATATATTCTCAACACCCAAACTTATAAAACTGCAATGACATAAGGAAAGGTAACTAAACTCACCAAGGTACTTATTGAACATCAAGGCAATTGGCCTTGATGTCTCTGAAGTTCAAGCCCCCATGATTGCTGGACGGCCAGGTAGTTTGCTGGTATTACAATGATGGATACACATGAATGGCTGTACACAAGAGTAGGTATACAACCTTTGAGTTAGTTTACTTGACTTTGAACAAACAATCTAGCTTAGATAGCAGTGGTCTACAAACAATGACCACCAGTTCAAGGTCTCTTTGGGATAAGGTAATTGACAACAGAAAAACTGCAAAGTAACCAGTCATCGGGGGACATTGGTGAGGTTTATAGAAATAGCCTAACAACTTTAGGTGAGAGATGCAACAGAGTGCATGCCCTTCTCTTATGTGGAATGTATTGCTAAGATTAGAAGATCTATACTTGTATGAGAAACACACATGTCTACAGATACAGGGAACCATCCTACTTAGCTATGGTATTAATAAATATTTTAACTTTTATATAAATTATGTTGGTGGGTTTTCCTGTTTGAGATACCAACCATTATCAATACACTCAAAAAAACAACATATCCTATTGTATGGATTGTTAGTTATCAACAGCACAACAGTTAAACACAAGGTGGCTAATATGAAGGAATTTAATAAACAACAAATGTTGTAGAAATGACCATTTAAAGTGCAGTGCTAAGTGTTCCTCTCAGGGCACCCTGGGAGTTGATGGTCATGCTTTACGAAAAGTGCAAACAATTAACAAGTGGATCAATATTCACAACAAACAAAATTTACAATGTACACAACAATAATTTATAAAACAAGTAAATATGCACATAACACATCAAGACACACACTAAAAGCCAGCCTGGGGGGAGGGACGTGTGGAAATAAAATAAAACAAATCTGTTAATAAAGCAAATAAAAGCAAACCATTATATATAAGCTTAACACAAGTAAGATGCGTTAAAATAAGCAAAAGCTGATGATGAATACATAAAAGAAAGAACTCTACCAGATTAATGTATAGCACTAAATGCACTATAGCTGTGCATGCAATATTAGCCAACATAACAAAACAGGTACCAATAAAACCCCATAACTGACAGATTCATTTTTAACAAAATTAAAGAAAAATGCATCTAAAACTCATAACTATATCTACTATATTAAATATATTTATAAATTGCTCATATGTAAGTACTTAACATGAAAATTCATTTTTTTTAAAAAAACATAAAAACAATGCAGTATTAGCATGCAATGAAGAGTAAAGTAAGTCTAGTATCTTTGAGTGGCTAGGTGCTGTCAACATTTGTTGGAACACTTAGGAAGAAGTGCATTACCATTCTATTTCGGGCACAGCCATGACGGACTGTGCTGACCAGGGAGGGAGGCATAGGGTCCTGTTTACGCTGAAGAAAATCAAAGGAACTCAAAATGTAAACAAACGTAATTGAAGGATACAAACACAAACATGCTGTTTTTTTTAACGCTAGAAGAGACCATTTATAGGATAACAAAAGTTTGAAAGACAGAAGCAAAGATTGCTAGAATATAGTATTGATGAGTCAAACATTACATGCAAGGTGAGTATTTAAAAAAAAGAAGATGAAGAATAAAAAAACACCTTAAAGCATGCAGACACCATGCACCAGAAAGTACACTTTACTCATCACGTTCCAATTAACGCACCAACACATTAGTAATATGTACTTGTCAAATGGGTGTTAATTCCAGTTTCAAAAAATAAACAAAGCAAAATCTTTGAGAAATTAAATTAAAAAAAAACACTGGTGATTGTGATATTTCTGTGATTATTAATGATACTGTGCTGACTGCAATTATAAATGACATGCATTAATTACCATGCTTTGTTCTATCACGGTGAATGGTGAGTTGGCTACAATGTAACATCTACTTAAATGATTCCTAGATTCTAATTGGTTAAACAATTATTTTAAAGGTTTATGCTTGGTTGTTTTTGGACATTTAGCAGTGACTGTTGTTGCAGGCTCCACCTTTTTGGGGGTCTATGGCAGCAACTGCCACTCTGGAGTTGAGTGTAAAAAACATTCCATACCTTGCATTCGTCTTCCTAAACCATTTCCACTTTTCCAGCCATGTTTCTGTAACATTCGGTACCCAATATTATCCTGTTTACATAAGTGCGAAGAACAAAGAAAACATACAGACAGCGAACCAAAGAATGTACATGGCGAGAAAAACACTTTTTGATACAAGCTGAATTGAAATGTCCACAACGACACTATTTAAATGATTGTTGGGCAAAACACAATCATTCACAAGAAAATATTATGATATTGTGCAGTGTTTAATAATTTGATGGTAAATATGTTTTGAATGAGAGCATAGATTCTTATCACATGCTTGCACACAGACTTACACTGTAAAACAATATTCAATTTAAAATCCTCTGTATAATCAATGTACCAATACATCAATATATCAGACATTATAATTTATACAAAACACATGCACTGTGCATGCACAACAAAGATGGAAAATGTAACTACAGTAATTACCTCTGGGATCGGCTGGCTGAGGGATGCTTGTTCTAAGTCAAACTGGCCATCTTCATAGCGATCAAAACTACTTCCCTGTAATGAAAACAAATATACAAAATTAGCAAGGAGAGTAAAAATGTTTATAATCGTGAGTTGGGAAATGAATTATAAATTTAACCCTAGTGTTATTTACCAGTGACCCAAGAGCTGTTAGCTACATTGTTTATTTACTAGCACTACATGCATACGTGTGTTAAAATAAGACATACATGAAAGCCTGGTATTGCCAGGTAGCCTTCACATGTCAGATAATAATACTTAAATTATCTGCAATAATTTATCATTCTGCCAGTGAATATATAGAGAAGAAACAAACAACTAGAGATATGTAACTGTTGAGGAGACCACATACATGTATAGAAAAAACTCCAATGTACAGAATATACCATTAGGTCAGTGAGGGTGAACTAGTCACATGAGGGGCTGGCTCTCAAGATATCTGGGTGTACAAATATACCAAATCAGACACCAGTTAAAATTTAGGGAAGTTGTCATTTTGTTGGCCAAATTTCGGGGAGCAATAAAAGAATATATAATACTAAAAATTAATGAGAGGGCAAGACAGCCGGGTACTGGATATTATTGTGAACCAATACATGTACCAACTTGTTTGTACAAAAGTGAAATAGGTTTATCAAGCAAACTTATAAAGATATACAATTATAGAGTACAACCAGGATGGAAAAAAAAAATGTTTCTCTTTTCATGAAATGTTGAAATGCAGCTCTACTGACTGCACAAAGCTGAGTGGCTGACTGCAAATGGTAAGTTTCGACTGAGAAGCTGACTGCAAA